GGAAGATTGAGAGTGATTTCAGAGGTTGAGAAATTAAGGAGTAAAAGGTTAGTATGGTATGGGCATGTTATAAGGCGGGATGAATCGCATGTAACAAGAAGGAATTTAGTTATGAGTGTGGTATACCGGTAGAGGTAGAACTAAAAAGAGATGGATGGATTACGTGAAAGGTGACATGAAGAAGAGAGTGATGACTGAGATGACAGGTGATAGAGTTATATAGAGGACGAACACGGATGCGTTCATCCTACGGAAGTTGGATAAGGGGAGATGATACGAGAAGTACGCAAATTACGTGCAAAATGTTTCTTTTCAAGAACGCTAACGGACGTGAAATTTGACATCAAAGTAGAGTTTGAACTAAGCTATAATTATTTAAGTAATAATTAAAAATGTAATCAAGAAATATTAGAGGCGCCTTAACACTAAAGTTTATTAAAACTCATAAATTAGTAATACATTATTTTGAGTCACCTAAGACTACGTAAACTTGGGTGACATGACAAATTGCTACGCACCATTACCACTAATAGACTAATGTTAATGAGCGAGTCGTTAATCTTCCCGAAAAACGTAACCGAACACTAGTAATAATGCACTTAATCTGATTAATGTAATACAAGGTGTTGCCCGCGACTAGGACTACGTCCGTGGAATAAAAATCACCCAGTCTTTAGATGGAATTATTGAATCTATACTATTATAATAAAGCGTAAACACACACTTCTTTGTTGCCTAAGATGTCAGCAATTACCGTATATTTTCGAATAACTCTTTTTTTTAATAAAAAGGCCTACACTTACGTCACGCTTTAGGCTATATATTTTCACGCTGTTAAACTTAGGGGTAAATATTTTGGATAAAAACCCTCATGTGGGAAAGAGACCATAAGTTGTTGCCAACATCAAGGAAGCAAGTTTGTCATGGTTTGAAATCATGTCATGTCATTTTGACATTTGCAATTGATAACTTGACAAATGTGAACAATAAAATATTTTTTTTATAATTTTATGCTGATGAAGTCGCATGGGAACAGCTAGTGTTTGATAAAACTTGATATCTCGGAGACTATTTCGAAGATATTAAACAACTATGAGATAATCCAATCTCTACTTCTATTTTTATCCAAATTTCATACGTATAGATATTACTGATTTATGTACAAACATCCATGCAAACTTTCGATTTACATTAGTCAAATAAATCTTAAATGCGACAGTTTAAGAATAGACTATCTTTGAGTTAATTATTGCACAGCTGTTGTGAAATTGTCGATTGTCAATTGTTTCGCGGCGAAGTCAACTGTTTAGTTGCACAACTAAAAATCGAGTAGTTGTCGAACCATATAAGATAGGAATCAAAGCGAGACTGAACAGTTGTGCGATAAGGTGTGCGCGCTCTCGTCTATAGCTAAAAGTAATCGCAGTAGCTATTCAGTGGTAGAGCCCGCTTTAACATCTTCGCACGAATGGGCCGGCTCACCCGGTGTAATACCACGACCACACAGAAAACAGGCGTGAAGTTGAAGCAATTCCGCGTTTCGTCTGATGAGTGAGGTGCCGGAGGCCTAATTTTAGTCCCTTTCCCTTTCCACCCTTTTCTTAAGAGGGAGGGATGGGAAGGAGAAGTGGATTTGACGGTGGAGGAGACGCATAGTAAGGAGATACATAATAAATGTCCTCTATATGTGCGTTTCTTCCTGTGTCGATTAAGGGTATGTAACGCATCTGCAATTGCGGATGTTTATGGGCGACGGTTTCTTTCCATTTCGGTGGATTCAGGTGGCCACTTGCTCGTTTGCTACCTCATATTATAAAAAAAATATAAAAGAACATTAGCGATGCGAAAAATCATAGTGTTTTAACGTTATAGACAATTTAAAAGCAATAAACCAAATGTCACAGTACGCAAGTTATATTTTACATAGCCTTTATTGCTGCCCTTAAAATGATAAATGGAAGTCATGAAAAAGTTGCGTATGAAAAGAAAATTCATTCATGAGAATTTTATTCAAGTTTAATAGCTTGAATGTGATGTGAGCAATTTGACTAAAATGTGCGAGCTACAATGACGTGATAGATATTAAAACTTTTATTTAAATATTTTTTAACCTTTGAGATTATTGACGTTACGCGGTGTAATGTAACATGTTACGATAAAACATGATGGCAGTACCCTGGCGGAGAAACCAGCGAGCCACAAGCCGTTTGACGCGAACGTTACACCTCGTAACATCCCATCACGTAAAGTAGATCAGTACGCAAATTAAAACATATCGAATGATTGCGTAAACGGTACAATTTAGAATAGAGATGACTGAAATTACGATTTAGATTATTAACCTTTTGATAAAAATTTCTGTTAACTAGTAACTAGCTTTATTTTGATATTAAGTGAAGTTTCATTGTTGATTTTATTTTTTGAAAGAGATAAAAAAAATAGTGAACATTACTAAATTTTTTTGATGACAGGTCATTAAAATGGCATATTGCTAGAGAATATTTTTTCGCTTATGCCTGTGATTAATGGATAAAATATTCTTTGCCTCTCTGGAAGGATATGCGAGCCGGGACGGCAACAGGAAATGACCCCATCAGTCTTTCTGCCGTATAAAACTAGACGTTGTCTTGCATATGTTGTACGCAGAAAAGGGAAGTTTTACTATATTTTAACAAATAAATTAATACATAATTTTAAAAACAATATATCAAAATAGAATTTTGTAGTGCTTTAAAAAGTATAAAGTCTGTAGGAATTTCTCTACATAGAATATCCCACATCCAATTAGTTGTCGTTAAAATAAAAAAACAAACAAACAATTTTCTTATGAAATAATACATTCATATTAATAAAATTAAGAAATTCATTACAATCTAGTAAAAGGTTTAGGAATTAACTCGAACCTTATAT